CTCTGATGGATGGACATTCTTGGCAAAGCAATAACACCACAGATAAGCAGATGCCACATAAAAAAAAGATGCCACACAAAGATTGACATTGAAGACTCGTTCTTACACAACTTATGTCACTCTTGAGATTGACACAAGAAGTATACAATGCATTATAAGCCAGAGACTTTCTTTTTATGCTGGGAGATCCCCTCTTGGTAAAAAAGAAAAAATAGTCCCACCGCAGTCTCAAGAGCTGCACCATTCTCCATCTTTAGATCTGCAAATTTTCTCCCAAGACTCCCACCAACCCTCAGGTCAAAGATCACCTGAAACATCTCGAGAGCCCTCCGCTGGTTTTCACAGTTGTGTCTTTGAGTTGCTAAAGTGTTTTGCAGTCAACAATGAGAGCTTGGATTTCTTCTGTTACCTCAAAGGAAAGGAATTCAGTGGTCTCAAGGTCCCGGGCAGCAGTCCCCTGTGGCCAGAGGGAGATGGGAGTTAGCTGTTTAACAATGACAAGAGTCCCATGACCTACAGACAATAAGAGCGGCTTCACACAGCGCTAACGGCAGGGAGACGTTTTCATAAGCTCATGCAGTGTGGCAGATATAGGCCTGTATGTTTTTATAATGAACTACAGAATAGAACATCTCATTGAAGATCTGTAGGGTCATACACTTTCCCATGTTATGTGATAGCCAAGTCATTTTTCACAGTGAGTTTCTTGTAGTAGAATAGATCAAAAAATTGGATCCAAATGACAATTACATTATCAATTGGAGCTTTTTACTAATGAATGGCAAAGATTATTTTAATTGATTGTATAATGTGCTAATGATAAGTGATTTTTTGTGATTTTGGTTTGCATTTTTTTATTTTGTCTTATTCTGTATACGGTGCAATGGCCTTCGAGACAGAAACAAATGTGTTTTGAATGCTTGGGGTTCTTTCGTTAAGGCATATTCACTTGGTAACTTAAACAACATTACAGTGGCATTCACGTCACTTCCATGTATTTACATAGTGATGATAAGTGACCTGAAACTACGAAAAATGAAGTGATTTATCTTGTTGGGGACTTCCAAAATAACAGGTCCTCTTCCAGCCTCCAAACCTACTTACGTTATATAATGATTGGTGCTTGTTATCTGTCTATTAGCCTGTACCTTTCTCCTCCTGTATTTATTTACACTGGCCAGAGGATGTGGTCTAGCTCGTTGCTATATACTATGGCTCTCTTCATCATTGCGTCGAAGAGCTTTAAAGCAGTTCAACATGTTCACTGATTCAAACTAATGAGAAAAGGATGAAGAAGATTTGTGCTTTGAAACCAGAATGTGATGTGCACAACATGGCAGTGATTGGTTGTTTGGCTTGTGGTTGAAAGGGTCGTCATCTGGGGGTTGGAGAGTAAACACAGGATCGTGGGGCAAACTGTGTACCAAGAATTTATTTCCACCAACTTGCTCGCAAATATATTATTCTACTGTTCGTGGATGTAATATATGAGTGAGACAATTCGGGATATATTCTAAATGGAAAATTAAAGGCCTTTTTGGCACTTTTGAGACCCCAGGCAAGCACATCAGCCAAATGTTAATGAAAACCGGATAACTCGTCTAGTCCAATTTAATCCATTGAGCAAGAAGCATGTGACTACCCAGGTATTCCATTTGGCGCAACTGGATCGAACCATTTCTATTCCATTTACCTCTATCATGTGACCACGCAAAATGGGAATACAACAAGACAAGGCCAGCAGATGCATTTAAGAGCCACAGTCTTCTATCAAAAATGTACATGTTTGGACGCAAATAGGAGACTCATTGATTCATTTTAAGTACCGTCACATGTTTCATTGTTTTGTGCGTTTAATATTGTGCAGAAATTCAATTAGTTGTGTTACTGCAGTTGAGTTGAGTGTGTGAAAATCAAATGCTCAGAGGAAATTACTGTTCCAAAGGCAGGTTCCAGGCAAAGTTGCAAGGACCCTTTTAAAGCCGCACAAGGCCATCTGATATTTTCGATAAAGCCCCCTGCATTTGGACTTGGACCAGAGTTGTCAGACAGGTTCGGAAGCGATGCAGAATAGAGTCCCTTTTTTTTTTTTATTCTTATGCTCTGTCCAAGTTCTCATTGATTTTCTTCTCACCTTACCCTTCTCTTTCTTATATCGCCTCCAATAGTGGTTACTAAGTCCTTTATAAAGTTCAAATTGCACGCTAGCCTGAAATATTGCTACTTGCTACTAAGATAATGAGTATTTGGTGTGACACGACAGCCACATGTGACCTTTTACTTTTGAAGTGTCACCAGACTTGTCATCACTCATTCTCATCCTAATCGCAGCAAAGAGTGATTTCTCACTTCCCAAGCCACCGCAAAGTGAAAGAAAAAGTGTCCAAAACAAACATAACAATTGAAACTTCTGCCATTCTTTGCGACACCTTTCAGATCAGTTGTGTGGGAAATAACCCTTAGGTCTTCTCCATTGAAAACCTATCGAGCACTTAAAGGA